GGCTTTTTTTGTGATCACTACAGATTAGCACTCTCGTTAATAACTTGAATTTAATAAAAAAAAATGGAATATACCACTAGGAAATCCGAACTATAACGAATATGTCATCCTTTTGAGATAGTTTCGATGCTTTGCTAAATTTTTTTGTTGATAGACGATATGAATTTGAAATTGTTTATGGTTAGTGACAAATTCATTCCTGAATTAGTTATATATACCTTTTAACTTATAGGAAAATGACTGTATCTATCAACAGTTGATAACCAACGACTTTATAACAGTTAAGTAGTTAACCAATGAATCATCAACCAATAACTTTTCCTGTTCGAGTCTGGTTTTTGAAAGCTACTTCAAACCTGTAGACGACCTCTTGGTACTGTAGTCGATTAACAATCCCAATTGACTTCGATTACTAATTAACGAGTAACTTACCTTTGTGGTTTAAGTAACTCAGGTGATCATTCATGGCAATACAATTAGTTGTCGCATAATGGAATTTTCATTGAAAGAGACCTCAAAGGCTCAAACGCATAATTATGAAATCACGAACAAGTTGGACTCTCCGATCCGTGCCGAATCTGAATTACCAGGGAAATTAAACCCCTTTTGATTTAATAAAATGCCGGGCAGGATCGTTCGTTCGGCACAGACGGGGAGCCGCCGGAACCCAAAAGAAACGGATTCCTACAGCCAACAAGCTATCATCATGTTCGTATAAATAAAACAAAGAGCACTATAATTATTACAATTGGTGGGGTGAATGCTGATCCCCCAACGCCAAAGAAGCAGTTTGTAGAGGAAATTGATGATATGGAAAAGGTGGAGGAAGCCAGCCTTGAATGGCCCCAGTCGAATAAATGAGGCTTCTTGCCTGGAATGTGAGAGGAATTGGGTCATCCCTCACGTTCCAAACAGCTGTTGGTTTGGTTCATTCCAATAAACCGGATCTCGTGTTCTTCTCGGAGACTCGATCGAGCCGGCGAGTAGTAACCCGGCGCATGGGGTTAGGTTTTGATCTTTCTTGTTGCTTTTTTGTTGATGCGGTTGAGGCATCTGGTGGTTTAGTTGTAGCTTGGGCCTCCGAGGTTGATGCTTCGGTGTTTTACCATTCGAATTTTTGTATTTGCACGCTTGTTAATGAAATTGATTTCTCCTATGTGGTGGTCTTCGTTTATATTAGTTGTAATACTATTGTCCGTACCACTCAGCTGGAGCAACTTCGTGAAATTTGTGGCAGCATTAGCCATCCTTATGTTGTCATTGGGGACTTTAATTCTACTCTGCATGAGGGTGAGAAGGATGGCGGGCTGCCGTGGAGTGCTACTCAATCTCTGAGCCTTCGGGATTTTGTTCAGGACCTGGGACTCCATGACCCGGGCTACCAGGGAGATCAATTCACCTGGTCGAACAGACGAATGGGGGCCGCCTGCATCCGTGAGCGTCTGGACCGTGCTCTTTGTTCCCATCCTTGGATTGATCGCTTCCCTGACACCCTGGTGAAGCATTTCACTGATCAAGGCTCTGATCATCGAGCCCTCCTTCTCTCGGACAAGACTTACACCCGCACCACCCGCCCCCTTTTCCGATTTGATGCCCGTTGGGCTGATAACCCGGAGGTTAGGGCTATGGTTAATTATGTCTGGAAGGAGGAAATCCAAGGAACCCCTATGTTCCGCCTTTGGGAACGCCTCAAACGGCTTCGGCATTTGCTCTATGATTGGAGTAGGGCAGGTACCACTAATTCCCTTCGGAATATTAGAACCCTTCAGGCAGAGATTGAGCGGGTCAAATTGATTCATCCAATCGATTGGGACGAAGTTCGAACTCTTGAGATCGAGCTTAGTCGGCAATGGGAGGCAGAGGAGGTGTACTGGCAACAAAAATCCAGGGTCCGGTGGCTGAAGAAGGGGGACCAAAACTCCTCCTACTTCCACACGGTTACTCGTGCTAGGCGTAAGCGTAATTTCGTTGCAGGCCTCCGTAGTGAAAATGGAGAGTGGGTCACTGAGGAACAAGGGAAGGCAGAGATTGCCACATCCTTTTACCAATCGCTCTTTACGTCGGAGACGCATGTCCCGAATATGGCTGAGAGGGTTGCCAGTCTCCCGATTCCTCGGTGTGTTACCCCTGAGATGAATGCTGCCTTGACAAATGATGTCCTTCCCAATGAAGTTCGGCAGACTGTGTTTGCTATGGGCTCAAAGCAAGCCCCGGGCTCTGATGGGTTTACGGGCAAATTCTTTAAAACTTTCTGGGATATAGTAGGGGAATCTGTGAGTGAGGCAGTCTGTTCCTTCTTTGAGACGAGTCGGATGCTTAAAAGCTTTAATCATACTTGGCTTACTTTGATTCCGAAGGTGGACAATGTTGAGACCATGCGGCAATTGCGCCCTATCAGTCTGTGCCAATTTGTTTACAAAATCATAACGAAGATTATGGCTGGGAGACTGGCAAGCATCCTTCCTCTAATTATCTCAGAGGGTCAAAATGCTTTTATCCGCGACCGCCAGATAATTGACAACATCCTTCTTGGACATGAGTTAATGCACTATTTGAAAATCAAAGCTCGGGGCAAGAAAGGGTACATGGCTCTAAAGGTTGACATGGAAAAGGCCTATGATAGAGTCGAATGGCCCTTTCTCCTTGCAGTTATGAATAAAATGGGTTTTAACTCTGTTTGGCAGGGATGGATTCGTGAGTGCCTCCGATCCTCCTCTTTTTCTGTGCTTATGAATGGCTCCCCCTCGGGGTACTTTACGCCTTCCAGGGGGTTGAGGCAGGGAGATCCGTTGTCTCCGTTGTTGTTTGTGATTTGCACTGAGGGATTTACGGCTCTTCTGTGCAAGGCAGTTGAGGAAAAGAAGCTTCAGGGTGTTAAGGTGGCCCCCCGTGCCCCTAGAATTTCCCACCTGTTCTTTGCTGATGATTCATACTTGTTTCTGCGAGGGAACCTTCAGGAATGTGCGAACCTAATCGAGGTCTTGAACGAGTATGAGGAATTGAGCGGACAGCGTGTGAACCTGGAAAAATCAGCGGTTTGCTTCAGTAAGAATATCGTTCTGGCAGATCAGGAATTTCTGGCTACGGTTCTGGGGGTGGGGGCGGTAGGGGTCCACGATAAGTACCTGGGGTTGCCCACCCTGTTCGCTAGGTCTAAAATGGCTACGTTCAGGTACTTGGAGGAGAAATTGTTAGCTAAGCTTCAAGGATGGAAGCAAAAGACACTTTCCTGGGCGGCTAAGGAGACCCTTATTAAGTCTGTTGCTCTGGCTTTGCCCCTTCATGTAATGTCATGCTTCAAATTACCAGTCTCGTTATGTCGTCTTTTGGATAGGCATGTGGCTAGATTCTGGTGGGGGGAGGCTGAGGGTCACCTGAAAATTCGTTGGGTCTCCTGGCGACATATGTGTAAGAGTAAGCATGACGGGGGGATGGGGTTCCGCAGATTTGAACAGTTCAATCAAGCTCTCCTAGCCAAAATTGGTTGGCGGATATTGACTGAACCCCAGTCCCTCCTGGCCCAGGTGTACAAAGGAAAATATTTCCCCAATGGATCCTTCCTCACTGCTACGGCCCGCTCCCGTCCTTCGTGGGGGTGGCAGAGGCTTATTTTTGGGCGCCAGTTATTGGAAAAAGGGTTGAGATGGCAAATCGGGAATGGGCGGTCGGTACCGTTGTTAAATTCCAATTGGATCCCGCAATTACAATGGGACACTCCGCATTACAATCCTTGTGTGTTGCCTGATGGGGGTGACCCGGTCGTAGCTGAGCTTATTTGTCAAGGGGAGGGGCGTTGGTGTGATCACAAGCTTAGGCAGTGGTTTGATCCGGGTACTTGTAAGGCCATCAAAGCTATTCCCCTCCCGCGTCAGAGTGTGGAGGATAGATTGATCTGGCATAATACTACTGATGGGGTGTTTTCGGTCAAGTCTGCTTATCACCTTGCTGTCTTCCTGGATAAGCGGAACGGAGGGTGGAAGGACTCGGTCAGCTGGATGGATAAGGCCAGCTGGATTCGTCTGTGGGAGGCAAACATTCCCCCTAAGCTGAAGGTGTTCGTTTGGCAGATCCTTTCTCGAGCCCTCCCAACTACCGAGGCTCTCATTGAGCGTAGGGTCCCGGTCCATCCTCGCTGCCCGGTTTGTTGGGCTAATTCTGAAACGTTAGAGCATTTGTTTCTTGATTGTCCGGTGGCTCGGGCTTTATGGGATTACTCGGGCTTGAACTACCTTGGGGAGGCTTTGCCTCGTCAAACGTTTCCTTTGTTCCTCAAAAAGCTTTTGGCTTTAATCAATCAACCTACTTTGTTCATGGCAGTTGTAGCCGTCCTCTGGCGAATTTGGCGCTCGCGCAACTGGGTGGTGTTTGAAGGGAAACAGTTTGGGATCCCAGTTTTGATGCGTCAGTTCGTCCAGCAGTATGAGGAGTGGGTTCGTTTGCCTGCCCAATCCGTATCTCTGGCCCCTCCTCCTCGTTCTGGTCAGGGCCAGTTGGAGGATGTGGGTGATCCTCGTATGGTTTGTAAGTGGGATGGAGCCACTAGATGTGGATCCCATTCGGCGGGAGGAATGGTTCTTCTACTTCCTACAGGGGCGATCAGTATGGCCATGGGAGTGCAGTTTGAGGTTATTGATGATCCAATGGTGGTGGAGTTGTTGGTGTTACGGGAGGCTGTGCTTTGGTGTCAACGCTTGGGCCTGACGGGTGTTCGGTTTGAAGGTGATGCCAAAGTCGTTATCGATAAGATCAATCGAGGGGACCATGGTGACAACAGGATGGGTGCTGTTCTTGAAGAAATTGCCAAATGTCTACAGCTCCAGCCTGGGTTTAGCATTCGGTTTGTAGGTCGGCGTAATAATAGGGTTGCCCATTTGGTGGCTAGAAAAGCCCTTTCTTTGTACCCGGCCTTGTGCCATTCCTTTAATTATCAGACCTGGCTGTCTTCCAGGGTGTAACTGCCTATTATCTTGAATCAATATATGATTATCTTTTGTCAAAAAAAAAAAATTACAAACATGGGCATGGCGGTAAACAGGTTAGTTACAATATGGCTCCTATTTCTCTTCCTGGTGATGACCGCCGCCGACGACTCATCTCGGATGGCTCCCCGTCCACATTGCCTGCAGGGGAACTCGAGCCGCTTGCCGACGGCGGTGAAAATAATGGAGTCTCTGGTGGAAGATCTGATGGCAAAAGCGTAACCTGTTCTGTACTAAGAATGCGTCAGGACTCAGGATTGACTGTTTTTATAAGTTACGTGAGTAACGCTTTATAAATGAAAAGAAAAACGCTTTATAAATGAAAAATAGTGATGTTAAGAATGAGTAATTAAGTCTAACAAATTGAAAGATCGACTCTACCTAATTGAAGAGAAGTCCAAATAAGAGAAATGCGTAGAGTAAGAACGTAACGAGACAGGGCGAGTCGAAAGCCATCATCATGATCTAGTTACTCAACGGCCTAATCTGAGAGAGCAATCACATCGGGGCGCTCTTGTGTGGTAACAGGAAAACTAACTCCCCAACTCGAACATACTACGCTACGCTAAATGTAGAATCTGAGATTCTCTGCAAATAGTGAAATCCCAGATCCCAGCAATCAAAATCCTCCCATCTCTACCAGCTGTGCTCATCTATTTGCTACTTTCTCTCGTTAGGATGGCAGATATCATAAGAATCATATGGACAGCAATCAAAATTTGTAAGAGAGTTGCGCGCGGCGGCGCGCCCTTAATATCGTCAACAACACTTTGTTACCCCTGCTGCTGCTGCTGCTGTTCTTGTCGTTCCAGTCCTTTCGTCGTCATCTAAATCATGGAACTCATGTTGCTGCCGACAAGGATGTCTTTCTGCGAGTGGATGCAAGTCGCCGTTAAGTTTGATGCCGTCTTCAACATCAACCACCGTTCCGCAACTAGAATCATGTGATCCTTGTTCCATGGCAGTAGTAGTAGAAGGGTTTCCAAAACCTTCCACAGAAACAGATGAATCAGAGTCCATTGCATCTTCTTCAGCTGCTGCAGGGGTATTATCGAAGGCAGATGATGTTTCATTTCTAATGGCAATAGTGCCAGCCGTTTCCAAGTCATCTGCAGAAGATGATCTCGGTTCGTGAGATTCTGGAAGTGGAGAGCTTGAATGGAAGATTGGAATATCTTCCTCCTCCTTAACCCCACTCACAACTTGGACACGTCTCTCGGATTGAGGGGATACAGAAGTGGTTGGCTCAACATCGACGACCATTCCGCAACTCGAATCTTGTCCTTGTTCCATGGCAGTAGTAGAAGGGTTTCCATAACCTTCCACGGGAACAGATGAATCAGAGTCCATTGCATCTTCTTCAGCTGCTGCAGGGATATTATCGAAGGCAGATGATGGTTCATCCTTAATGGCAATAGAGCCAGCCATTTCCAAATCATCTGCAGAAGATGATCTCGGTTCGTGGGAAAACCTAGCTTCTGGAAGTGGAGAGCTTGAATGGAAAATTGGAATGTCTTCCTCCTTAACTCCATTCACAACTTGGACCCTTCTCTCGGATTGAGGGGATACAGAAGTGGTAGGCTCATTCCCCACCAGCTTTACTGGTGCACAACTCTCACCATTTTCGACCACTCGAGAGTCCATTTGTTTCCCAACAGCTTGCGCCCGATCATCCTTCGAAGGTGTGCTAGTTCTAAGACACGACGGTCGAGCAGAAAATCTGCATAAAATCATTCAAGTAAATCATATTAGTTTTCATAAGAATATTGATGTGCACAAAAAAAAATTATGGCGAACTAGAGTAGTAGAACCCTTTTTAGTTTTTAAAGCAACCCATGAATAGAAAGAGCATTAATAACACAGGAATAATCAACAAATTAATATTGATCCACCCACAACTTATAGAGATTTCATAGAGCTATACTAACTGGCATGTGGAGAATAATAACACAAAAGCACTCCACGAGCAGCAGTGAAGTTATATGGTTAAATATACCAATCGCAAGTAAAATACATAATAGGCGATAAAAATACCTGCTATATAAAAGCATGTATGCTCCTTGTGATAGTACCTCGGCCAAGTCGACATTTGTAACCTGATCAATACACATCACCCCACAGCATAATCAAGTAAGGACATATATGTCTACTATGTAAAATGCCATACTTCAAAAGATCTAAAAGGAAATTAGCCGCTCAAATCCACACAGAAGGCAAGAGGCAATTTATGCCAGTTATATGCACACATGTAGACAACCAAAGACAGATACCTACCTTGCAGTCATCAAATCTGAACCAGTCTCCTTGGAAATCCTTGATATAGCAAATATAATGGCCAAAAAACGATGCATTTAGCATATCTATGTGCACAACAACAGCATAAAGCTTGTACACGTCACTGCCATCTCCTTCACTCGTGTAGGGACTAAGATCTAATGTCGCGGGAAATTTTATCCTCTTATTAAGTTTCCCGAATCTTCCACTCTGAAAAATGTCATCAAAGCAAATAGGAGACATTAAGCACTGCATGTTGTCTGACAATAACAAGATACAGAATCTGTTCATCTCAAACCTGAAATCTTTTCAGAGCGATAGTAAGAATATTTGGAGCTCGTCGAATTGTAAGGCGCTTCCATGCGTTGACATAGTCATTGCAACTGCCAAGAGAAACAAAATTCACATTCAAATAAAGCAAGCATACAAGTTAGCAGGGTTTCATTGAACATATCCATCGTTTCCCATCTAATGAACTGGTGCTACTTGTAATGTGCAGGTAGATCCGGCAGGCCAAAGCAATTCATTTATGTATATTGGAAATGATGCAGCCTGGAAACCCTGCCAAGGGATTCACTGCATAGATTCGAGAGGCTTTTGCCCAATCTACCAGAGAGTGAATGTGGTGGTCGACATTAAATGAGGTCATAGTTAATTTAGTGTTGTCTGTCAATTACCTAATGAACAAGAACTTCCCAGCGAAAAAATGGGAGATCTTTTGACCTTCAATACAGTCAAACATGTACTTGATAATCCAACTACTTATTGTTGAAGAAAAGAGCACATAAACAATCATACCTGTCACATTTGTACATGTTGTCATCCTGAAGCCATTCCTTTGCCGTGAATTGATCAAGGCACTCCTCCAAAGAAGTGGCATCTCCATGGATTTCAACAGTTAAATCCATCATGTTTTCAAACTGGTTTGAAATATTACAGCACTTGGTACACATAACCTAATTTATGAAAAGTAATTAAACAACAATCAGAACTGTGGACAGTAACAACAGGGCAAAATGACTGCTAAAATGTTTTACAAGACGAGGAAATGCAAGCTATCACAGGGTTTGTCAGACCTTCATATATACTAAATAATCATCCGATCTACAATATTCAAATCATCGATCTCTTAATTTATTTTCATTGTCACAAATATAGCATAATAAAAATTGATAGCCACTGTCCCAATCTTCAAGGCCATGCTCTCATGTACCAAGTTCAATGAAGTGTTCAGTGTATGCATAGACACTGACGACAAATCTACATACCATCCCTACTGACAAGCATACACAGTGCATGCATAAACATTCAGTGATTCAGACTTCGAATGAAATTATCATGCATATAACATATATCTCAGTAAATATAGGACCACTATTCTGTTTATGCTGTAGAACGTTTATGGGTAAAAGTAGACCAAGCATGCATAGCCAAATCAAGTTCAGACTTTACTCCACAGGACGTTACCTGAGACTGCAGGTGACCGCCAAATATATGTTGAACCAGAGTCGTTTCTTGAGAAGCCGGGTCAACTGCCTTTTCTCCACCGAATTCATCAAGGCACACCGATTGCATTGTGTCAATGGCAAACCTATAAAATAGAGCAAAATTTGTTGGTAAATTGTATGAAGCCCACACAAAGATACATATTCTCTTAACCTGCACATCAAACATTCTTCTTATTCGTCTATCAAGTTTTTTGTGATTAAGGGAGGAACCGTGTGGTGTGGAGTGTCACATATGGATAAGACTAACGATACATAAAAATACAAACCTCATGAACTCATGGGCATCTTCTTGTCTCCCATAGCCAAGATTACCACCAATCTTAGGCAAGCGGGAAAGTATGTTAATTGGAGAAAAGGGATGTGAACTTTGGCTGGCTCTTTCAACATGAGATTCAAAAACGCACAAAAAACACCAGCCTTCGCGCCTGCCTGGAAACCAATATATGATCATCAATAATGAGGAATCATCCTACATTCGTTAAAGATGATAATACAAGACCAAAACATTTAGTAACCAGAGCTTACACTCTCGGCGGTGGCCTTTCTCCAACAGGTAAGCGACCAATGGCCTTGTGTATGTCAGACATTGTAGAACCACATTGGCAAAGCAACTGTGCATTCAAAAGGGAAAGGAATCAAAACTAACATATAGGAAGCAAGCAAAACGCCAATCTACCAATTTTTGCTATCTCTTCACAGTAAGAATCTAGAACCAACCTGTTTCCACAATTTAGGAGTCCAGAGGGTGGAAACGGTCTGTTCCAATTGTATAGTTTAACAAATTCCGCATATGGGAAAAGTACCTGAAAATTCATCATAAGCATGTCAGTGATAAATCTTAAGGAACTATGAAGACTGAAACTAAAAAGGTTACAAAAATACCTTCCCAGGCTTCTTAAAACGCTTACAAGTCCCACTACTAATAACCAATGCAATTCCAGAATAACGTTTGCCAGTACTGGGTTTCCTTATAAGTGATTTGCATTTCAACTTGTGACCGGAATTCCAATGTGAACTTTGGCACTCAGTCGAACTGCCAAACAAAGAAAAGAGGGATGTGAAGACATTTACAAAGATTGACACCCCTTTTTGTACAATTGACTGACTGGTAATTCCTAGCTACAGGAAACATTGTGTCAAAGAACTAATCACAAAGAAAAAAGAATGCTTGCTCCTTTCTTCATGACAAAGACAATTCTCTCACGGGAACGGTAATTCTTGGACAGAGAACCACAAGGCAGGAAGACTTTCGATAAAGAAACAATGAAAAGAGCGGGATGGTCCAAAGTATGCGTACCAGTATCGAACTGATTTGCAACCGGAGCACTTCTTGGCGCCAGACTTGCCACAATTATTGCAGGAAGAAAGCTCCTCCGGCGACCCCATTGAACTCACCGGCGCAGTGCGATTCCGATCAGCAATGTGTGCACCGCCAGTACCACCGGCGCCTTCGAAACTGGCGTCGACTTCGAAGTACTTCGACGCCGTGTTCTTGACCACGTACAGCAATCCCGCAGCAATGAAGAAGATGCTAAATATAAATCGAAGGAACCAATTAGGATCCACCGGAATTCCACCGACATGCATACTCCTCGCTCATTAAACCCTATTTACATGAGATTAAAATAATAATTCACAATAATCGTATCAGACTTGGAGAATGTAATCCGAATCCAAATTGGAGAATTTAGGGTTTCTCAATTTCAAGCTTTGTGTAATTTGTTCGTGCGTCGAAGGCTGGATTGGAAGTTTGGAAAAGGGGCGCAAGACTGTGGGCCCATTGCTGGGTCGGGTCGGGTACCACTTGGTGCGGATTTGGTTTTATTATAAACTGCATGCAGCTTCACTGCTTCAGCCTTCAGTTCATTCAATTCGATATTTGGGCCAATGAGGCCCGACAATAGTTGGCGTTGGGTCAAATTTATTTAGCCCAAATTTAACTTCGCTCATTTAAAAAAAAATATATGGTAAAATTTTGGTAAAAAGAAAAGCTCGGTAAAATACTCATTGAATTTAGAAGTGCAAACTCTATCCAATCCAATAAGTACTAGGGGTGCATGATTACTCATGGATTTACAAACTTAACTATAGATTTTTTTTTATAGAAACCTAACGTTAACTATTGATTATTTATCTGAATATCAATATTGAAACATTATCGAATTTTCCCTACAAATATATCTCTATAAAAAATACTAATAACATTCATAGAGTAGTAGTTGCTATTTAACTCACTCCAACACCCTAATCGAATGGCCTCTAAATTTCCAATTGAAGCCCAATGACAAACTCCCAAATCCAAGATTAACTGCTCTAATGAATCTCAACACGACGACGTCGATGCCGCACATTCACCCATGACTTCGTATGAGTACAACAAACACCGAAAACAACCTACCCACCAAAACAGAATGCATCCAACATCACATCACCGGATACAAACACGTTCCAAAGAGTATTTTTGAACCTCTCGAATCTCGGTTGACGCCCTCGACAGACAGTTCCCTCAACCTCCAAATATTAAAACCAAAAAAATCAACCATAGAGCACCTTCTATGCCTAGTTGCCTACTATCATCCTTAAAATTTTGAGATTTCCCATCGAAACTCTTTATGGAACCGAACCAGAACCATTATCTCAAATGACTCTAATTATGTTGAAGCCATTAGCTTTTTCCTCAACAACTCTTAACATAATTCAAATATATTTTTGGCACACATGAATTCTTCTTTCTCTCATTTCATTTCACTCAGCCAACAGCGAGACGATGTGACGGCATATAAATCAAAGTGGAGGACGTCAGCATCCTTTGAGTCATCTTCCACATGCTAGCACTGTAAAAAAGTAATACTTTATCAAATTTTGCCGGGAAGAAAGCACAGAAAATAAAGTGCAAACCAGAAAAGACACCCCATCTTCGTCGCTCTCTTCTTTGTCTTCTAGCATCATCCCTTCTGAAGAAATCCATTCTTTTCTGTCCCTCCCATTTCTTAGTCAAGAAATTTCAGCGCAGTTGCGATGCAAATTCCTGCTTTCCGCCTCCCCCGCCTATTTAACCACTCCTCCATGCCTCTGCTCCATCTCCCCATCGCCGGCCAAATCATCCCACCGCCCAACGATCAACCCAATTCTTTTTTACCATGGGAACAACCCTCTCCGTCCTCGCCTCCGTCGCCGTCCTCCGCTCCACCGTCAAGGAGTTCGTCCCGCCCGAAATCCGCACCTACCTCCTGGAACTCAGCCGCCGCTTCTCGTCGGAGATCGTCCTCGTCGTCCCGGAGTCCCACGAAGGCTCGACCAACCACCTCCACAAAGCCCTCGCCACCTACCTCGGCAGCGCCGCCGTCTCCGACCCCGGCGCCCCTCCCCGGCGGCTCACCGTCGGCAAGAGCGAGACCATGAAGGTGCTCACCTTCGGCCTCGACCGCAACTCCGAGATCGTGGACCGCTTCGACGGCATTCCGATGAAGTGGGCCTACTTCACCGAGACCAACACCGCCATCCACTTCGAGCTCAAGTGGTACGAGCTCCGCGTCCACCGCAAGCACGGCGAGCTCGTGACCGCCAGATACTTCACCCACATCCTCGAGACGGCGAAGAAGATTAGGGATCGGAGCAGAGTGGTCAAATTCTTCACCACGCGCAGCGGGCGGGACGGGTGGAGCACCAAGGGGATGAATCTGGAGCATCCCATGACCTTCGAAACCCTCGCCATGGATGGGGATCTGAAGCACGAGGTAATTGAAGATCTTGATTCGTTTATGGGAGGGAGGGATTACTACAAGAAGATTGGGAAAGTCTGGAAGCGTGGGTACTTGCTGTACGGCCCTCCAGGGACGGGGAAATCCAGCTTGATCGCCGCCATCGCGAATTACTTGAACTTCGACATCTACAACCTGAACCTCTCGGTGGTCAATTCGGATTCCTCCCTCGAGTATCTGCTGCTTCACATGTCAAATCGGTCCATTCTCGTCGTCGAGGACATCGATTGCTCCCTGATGTTGCAGAATCGTCAAGCCGTGGACCACCAGCAGCGTCCTGTGCAGGATCAGAATCTGCCCACGGCTCAGATTCTGCCCACGGCTCAGATTCAGGTCCCTATTCGCCCGAATCAGGTAAAACAATCACATTTAGTTTTCCCCAGCAAGTAATGTCAGGTTCCGTGGACTATATATTGTTAAGCGTTTGTTGCTGCTCTGCTCTTCTCTGCTCCACTACAATACACAACACAATTAGGTGACGCTATCTGGACTTCTGAACGCCATTGACGGGCTGCTATCTTGTTGTGGGGATGAGAGGATTGTGGTCTTCACTACTAACTACAAGGACAGGATCGATCCTGCTCTGCTCAGAGCCGGGCGAATGGATATGCACATTCACCTGACTTACTGCACATTCTCCACTTTTAAGCAACTTGCTCTCAACTATCTGGACATTGGCGATCACAAACTATTCGGCCAAGTCCAGAGGTTGATATCGGAAGTTGAGGTTTCTCCAGCAGAGGTGGCAGGAGAACTCATGAAAGACAGAGATCCCAGCAGCAGCTTGGAATGCCTCATCAGGTTTCTGGAAAGCAAGGTATATATATGGCAATGAAATGGTATGCAACATTTTCCTGCAGTTTCGGTCTTTCATTACCAGCTGATCATGGCTTGCTTGTTTTCAGAAAGCAGAAGTGAAGCCCTCTTCACCGGAAGATGTAATCAGTGATGGCGAGAACTGTAAACCAGAACAGAATGATGGACGAAAGGATGAAAAAGCTGTTTGCAAGCCGCTGGAAGTTGGAGGGTATCGGATCAAGGAAGAGTTGTCGTCAACTTTGGGGTCCATTCTCTCGGAACATGGCGACATTGTTGCTAACTGCACATTGCAGTCTCCGGAGTGTCGCGCATTGTTCTTGGAACTTGTCTGCGAAATCTTTCAGAAGCTTCAAGCTTTGAAGGAAACCAGGTTGACTCTGGCCGAGCTTAACTCCATGGCGAAAAGTGTTCGAGATCTCGAGTCACTGAAACTGGAGGTTGGGTGGCTCCTTGGGAGCCTGGACGAGGTTACTCCAGTCTTGAATGGAAGGGAGGCTATGCCAATGCCATGAATTAGTCTCTTCTTGTATCTGAATTCAGTGTGGTTCCAGTTTTATAGGATGTCCGAATTCAGTGTCCAATCGAAATAAGATATATGGATTTCTAAATATGCCAAAGTAATGTCTCATCAAGTAATTCGCTTTGGAGAAGATGAAAGAACAACAGTTCGGCCCCTTCGAAGTCGAGTCGGATTGCCTAACACTAGTGAACACCTTAAGGCAGCAGAGGGTGGACATGACAGAACTTGGAGTGGTGTGTGAGGCCATTCTGCAGACTGAAGGTGTTGAGGACTGCTATGCTTGGAAGCACACGAACAGGGAAGCTAATACTGTTGCTCATACTTTGGCACATGTTAAGATAGATCTAAATCATTGTAATAGCTGGATAGGCATTTCCCCTTCGTTCCTTTTGAACGATTTGTATCTGGATTCTAGCCATTTGGCTTAATTAATAAAATTACAGGAGGTGCGGTCCCTCCTTTCCCTCAAAAAAAAAAAAAAAGTAACGTTGTTTAGGTGTTGGTACAGCTCGATTATGACGACTAGCACATCTTCCTATTTATAATTTTAGTATAACGATGTGTTTCACCGCTTTTTTCCAGTAGTTGTATTTGGCTTACACCATTTGTGTAAGTCGACTCACTTTTTTTTTTATTTTAGTCTAGTCAATTATATTAATGAAAGAAATACTTACCTTTTTCAAAAAACCAAAAAAATATCTGTATTTACAAAAAAACAAAATGTCTGTATAAATTTCAAAGTTAAAAAGCCACATTTTCATTTTTGAGGCGGTTATAAAAAAAAAAGGCTTCTTATTGTTACCTTTTCCCGATAGACCACTGGAAACCCGCCGCTCTCACTCCCGACCTTAAATACAGCCCTTTCCCCAGATCGCAATTCTTCGCTGCCTTACCCCCCTCCAATTCCAACCGCCGACCGACTAAAACCATTAATTCTTCGTCGATTCATTTGGCCGGCCGGGAAAGATGTTGCGCGATGGTCCGTCGTCGGAAAACGCCGTAACTGAAGCGGAGTTAAGGGCTGTTCTGATGGTGTGTCCCCCCATCACCACCATTAATCTCGTCGGTATGTTCAAATCACGTCTCCGTTCTGCTGAGGTAACGCAACTTAAACCCAGCCAGCTTGTATTAATTTACAAACTCTTTTTATACCACGATTGCATATTAATCAATCAATACAGAAAAGACAAATATTGGAGTTTCTATTTGTTAGAGATCCTCAAATTTCAAGTAGACAAAAGTTGGAGATGGTTGTCTTTTGACAAGTCACATAAAACGTTGTTTTACCCCAGCATCTCACTCCAAAACATCTGTGCTCATCAGGTATTATCTGTTGGGTTTACATGTATTGTTCTGTGGATTTCCGTCGTCGCAATTATTGTCCACTAGGTTTTCAGCTACGGTTCATTAGTTTCTTGGCGGATGCTATTATCCCGAGTTTTCATCCATTGTATCCTAATTAGCCCTACTGTCCATCTCGAAACACTACGGTTTGCCACAATCACTATCGAAGATCCCTACCATATATATATGCTCTATCTAATCCTCGCATTCACATCCTATATTGAAACGCTATGGACGAAATCCTAAACTGTACCCCCTCCACCGTTTCACTACAACATTTTTGGCATTGTTAATTCCGTCTTGTGGTAACGTTCGGGACAATTTCAAATCCTCTTTTCATTAAACAAATCACCGTGGCATATCCAAACAACAAACTACCCTTTCACTTTTCGCGCCCAGCATTCGGACTATCACTCTTATAAAATAATTTTGCTTTAGCAAGTATGCTTGTGCTATGCAACTGCCATGTATATATGTGATGCCACGCTCAGATCATGCCAACGATATGCAGAGCAGGATGGCCTTTGCGAAAACACTCAAGAGAATCTCCAAGCTCTCGAGGAGTGGAGGCGCAGCAGGAACCAACTCTGTTGTGCTGAGGTGAGATTCATGAACCCATATGACATTGTGTTGTTTCTTTCTGGATCTTCATTATGACATTGTAGCTAAGTAGGAACGTTGTTATGGTGGTGTGTGGGTACAGGAACTCTACTGCCGTCGAAGGAGCAACTTCGCCGACGACGACGAGGAGGAGGAGGAGGAGGTCAGTAGCAAGATCAGGTTCGGGGCCTGTAACTGAAGAGGTGTTAAAGGCTGTTCTGATGGAGGCTGCTCCCATCACATCGATGGAACTTGTTGCCTTGTTCAAATCGCGTTTGAAGTCTTCCAAGGTAGAAAAAAAAACCTTCAAGCTCTTTAGAGTACTAACAGTAGTCTCCTGCTGTTATTTGTAATGAAGCTGTACATGATCAGTCTCGAATGTTCATATATGCTGTATGTCCCAGGATAAGAAGGCCTTTGCGGGCATGCTGAGGAGAATTTCCAGGATCTCGAAGGGAGATAACGGAGCCAACTATGTTGTGCTGAGGAGCGGAGTTTGCGATTCTGAATCCAATCCACTAATCCAATCCTTCGATTCGTTAAAAATATCCAACTGATACAATCTATTTCAATCCAATCCATTTGATCCAATTAGATTGGTTGATTCATGGATTGGATTGGTTGATTCATGGATTGGATTGATGGATCATTGGCAAATTACCCTTTAGTACCTAAATTTTTTATTTTTTACATTTTGGCACCTAAAATTTTTTATCATGACATTTTATTACCTATACTTTTTGCATTTTACATATTGATCCAAGGGTGAGGATGTTATTTGGATTCATGGATAATCCACCAATTCATTTGATCCATGAATTCATCAATCCACCAATTCATTCCATTTGTCACCTCTACTATTGAGAAGATAATTTGTGAATGGAACCATATGAATGGAGTGGCATTTGCCAACTCTACTATTGAGAAGATAATTTGTGAATGGAACCATATGAATGGAGTGGTGGGGCAATGATCATAGTAGTGACTTCCCGGCTTGTTTCTTGTTGAATTAAGTGGAATGGGTGGAATGGGTATTTGTTTGTGGCTCTGGTACTTGTTACGAATGGTGAATCCAGTTGCTATTGGTCATTCATATTAATTGTGAATGCTACTGTTTATCTAAATAATTTTTCGCCCAACAGGGTGTGGTGTAACTGAGGATGATTGTAAGACTGTTCGATTGTGTTCTTTATTTTACTTGTCATCCTCATGTTTTTTGCATACTCAACATTATTGTTTATAGCTATTTGTGGATAATTTCAGTCATTCACATCTAATTAAAATGATAATGCTTTTAAAATTACAATGGGAATGAATAGTACAGCGGATATAGCAATTGTAGAAAGTTCTTTGATTTGCACCAAGTGATTTATCCGTTTTTGAATGGTTTAAAGTTGAAGGAATCCACTAGGGGTGGGCAACGGGTACCCAGTCCAATTTGGAGACCAAAGTCCATCTCATATCCCAATCCATATGGGAAACGGGTACCCATTACTCGTACGAGACGGATAACGGGTACCCATACTACCCATAAATACCCAAAGTTTAAATGACATCACATTACATATCTTTATAATAACATGCTCTTGCGGGGAATAATAAGAACACGATATGATCAAAAACATAAATTCAATCTCTATATACACAAGCATTCATTTCAAAACATGTCCCTAAAACCAGATGACGTTTTAGCTAAAGACAATTACATCCCAAACCCACTACATAACACATGTATTAGCAGAGAAATGACGGTGGGCGTGGCAGGCAGGCGTGGAATGGAGGCAGTGGAATGGATTCGTGGGCCGTGGAATGGCTGGCGGCTGCTCCGCTGCTGGTCTACGCCTCGACGGTCGCGGAGTGGAATGGAGGCGGCGGCTGCGCAGAGGAGAGGGGGGATGGGATACGGTGACAACCCCTTAGGGGTTGTCAGATTCACAACCAAGGGTATTTTGGGTATGCAAAAAAGAATATATTAATTACCTCTTTTGTATTAATTATATTGGGAATTAAAAACCCATATTAAATACAATTTTTTTTTTAAATTTAAATCCTATACATTAATATCTCTATCTATCTCTCTCTCTCTCTCCTCCTTTCTCCAGCGGCCATTCCGCATCGACCGACAAACTTTTTCTCCGGCAGACTCCCTCCGGCAACCTGAAAAAATGTATCAGTGCGTTAAAAAGTGTACCAATCTATTAGTCTACTGGTAATTAATATACCAGTGCTAGTGGTACGCTACCAGTACATTAAAAAATGTACCAATACTAGCGGTACCAGTAAAAAATGTATCAGTACTAGTGGTACGCTACCAGTACAACGTTACCACTACCATATTGGTAGCGGTACCAGTAGAGAATAACACAACGCTACTAGCACTGGTAGTGGTACTAGCGGTACCAGTAGAGAATAACACAAACAAAACAAAAACAGATGATAGGGGAGCCACTAGTATTGGTACCAGTGAGTAGTGGTACCGTACCAATAGCGCTAGTAGTAGAGACTAAAACAAAAAATCAGATCTGGAAAAAAATAGGGATGAGGAAAGAGGGAGGCAGGGAAGAGGTCTTGACCTCGCGGCGGCGGCGGGGACAGCGGCACGGCAGGGTGGCAGGGACAACAGGCACGGCGGAGGTCAGGGGTGGCGGTGGGAGGAGGAAGGGGAGGGCTTTGAGGAAGGGGATTGGGGAAGGAAGCGAATGTGGAGGGAGAAGGCGGTGGAGGCGGGGAAGGGTAAGTTGGGATTGGTGGTGGTTGGGGTAACGGGGAGTTGGGATTGGTGGTGGTTGGGGTGCCGGGGGAGGAGGAGAAAGGGAGCTTGGCCGGCGAGAGAGGGAGGAGAGATAGTGATGGCTACGGGAGAGAGGAATGAGAGTGAGGGAGGATGGAGGAGTTAGGGGTTTTTTTCTTTTTATATGGTAGGGTGAATGATTGGGTGTGGTAAATTTTTACCCTTCCAAAAATATCCTTCCTTTAATCTTAACCGTTAATTTAAAAAAAGAAGAAAGAGACAGGAGAGAGAGCGTATCCAAGGGCTATGAAGTGGGTTGTGAATGTGACAACCCCCTAAGGGGGTTGTCACCGTATCCCGTCCCAGGAGAGGGGCTGAGAGGGAGAGCTCAGAGGCGGCGGCGGCGACGACGGTGAATGAAGGAGGCGAGCTAGGTTTCGTCTCTACTCTCTCGTCTCGAAGACGACTCGTCCAGGGACCAGACAGACTTGAGACTTCAGTCCAGAGAAGTTGCGTGTCTGCGTGACTGCGTCTCACGGTCTTAGTGAAAGAGTGAAAGGGTAAGGGCCCAAATGGAATTGAAATTGAAAAGGGTAAGGGCCGAAAATGAAATGGCCAATGAGTTTTGAATTGGACTGGGCGCCTGGGCTGAATTAAATTTTTGTCTTTGTAATTTGAATGGGTACAACGGGTACCCATATTACCCAAACGGGTATTTGCGGGTAACCCACGGGTACCCATATTAGGAATGTACAATCTCAAGTCCCATCGATTTATAATATTACGAGTAATATGAGTACCCGTAACCCTTAAAAAGCGCGACGGGTACGGATATACCCAAATACATGTTTTCCGTTGCCCACCCCTAAAATCCATGATTGCATCTTGAGCATCGTGTTTTCCATAGGATTGCTTGAGTGAAAAAGATTAAAAGTGAGTCAGCCACCTATCAACGTGGCATCAATACATTGTACACTAGCGTCGAATGTCCACGAGTTCCTTAAAATTTCTCACATGTGATTGAAAAGGTTCGAAAACGACGATACACAACCAGTTTGATGGCTGATCATGATGCGGGGTAATATCACGACGAAATGTTTTACTATCATTTATTATCTTCATCCCATTTGTTTTGTTTAAAAATATAAACCATATAAGAGCACATTATACATACATACATACTACTACTTTGTAATACCACTTTAGACGAATGAATCGCACATCTTGAGAGTTGAGACATAAATTAGCAAATCATATATTAACAAATTATTTAAATTTAATAGACCACTAATTTTTTCGATTCATCTCGTAACTTTCACCTAAAGTTAAATTTTGTATGTTAGATATTTGTTGTTCTAATAAAAGGTATATACTTATACGGATTTCCTTTCCCCCTCAAAGTCTCAACAAATGCTGATACGACACCGCATAGCTCAACGCAGATGTACTCGGACCATATAAAACCGAAAAGTCGTACTGCTCGCTCAGCTATGCAAAGGGTGCGTCGTTTGGCAATTGGCGCCCCCTCCCTTCCTTACCCCGCTGCTGCGTCTTCCGCTCAGAAACCCTAATCCAACCAGTCATATACCTTCGACCCCGCCATTAGAGCTTTCACGAGGAAGAGACAACCTCTCTCTCTTTCTCTCCCCCCTCGCCTGCTCGCCCCTTGCTTCGTGTAGAACGGCATAGTTGAGGTGCGTGGAATGCTAATCTGGGCTCATTCATCGGATTGATGTCCTTGTTTTGTCGAGCTATTTTTTTTAGGTATATCGTGATCGCTGTTGCTGATCTTCAATTTGTCTGTTGTTCGTTGATTTCAGTTCAGCTCGATTCGGACGGAGTTCGCGTACCGCGCAGGCGGCGGCGAAAGTGGGGTGTTTTTTACGCCCCTGCTATGTCCTGTGACTCGTAAGGTACAGATTGACGTTGAGCTTTGGCCGGAGCTTTTTGGGTTTCCTTCCGATGTCATAGCTCTAGAAGGGTTGGTGTTTCTTGAGTAGCTCTGGTTAGAGGACATTCATCTCTTCGATTTATACTGGGTTTCTTTCCTTGTTGTAGCCTTGTTCCGCGTCTGTTCTTCTCTTTGCTCGCAAAGAGTAAGCTAGCATTTTTTCCGTTTATGTATGTTCTGCTTCTGCTATTGATTGTTGAATCCTAAGTTGTTTCCCTTCACTGCTGCTGCCTTTCCTCCGAGTGAGATGGATGAGAGATTTCCACCCGTGAATTCTTAGCTTGGGGGTGCGAATATTTATTCTATCAGATGCGATGAACATGCTCTAGGAAATCTGGTCGTGCAGCTAGCTGATTTTGTCTGCTGCTTTTGAGAAATCGTGTCTTGGAATTTGCCATTATCCCTTCTTTTACGTTGTGTATAAACTTTCTATAGGATGTGGTGGACGATACATCATCTGTTTCGATTTAGGGGGGTTTTTATTAAGCTATTACCTTTGTAATTTAATCATCTCACTGTAGCTTGTGTTTTTCTGGGATGATAATTCCCCCAATTATTACTGTCTTGTGAAGTTGGCTGCATCAAAGGTTGCAGCTTTCTACCAAAAAAAAAAAAAAAAGGTTGCAGCGTGCCTATTTTTTGTGTGATTGGCCGTATGACCAGCTGTTGAGTGTTGATAGACAAAAAGTGTCCTATCTTCTCTTTAGATTAATTGAATTTAGAATTGAAGTCAAGGGGCTTGTGTTTCACTTCAGCATTAGGGCAATCTCCATGATCTTGGAACAACGTCTGATGTTTTGCCCTGTTGATTACTTTTGATTTAGTATAATGGAAATTGTGTAGCATGGCATGTAGTGCATTGATATGCCCTGCGTGCTATATATCAGAGGATGAGACGTTGAGTTATTTTTCGCCTCTGTCTTCATGGTTTCTATTCTCCTTACCCGTGTTATGTCTCTATCTCTCTCTCTACACCATGGCATGTAGTGCATTGATATGCCCTGCGTGCTATATATAATAGGATGAGACGTTGAGTTATTTTTCGCCTCTGTCTTCATGGTTTCTATTCTCCTTATCCGTGTTATGTCTCTCTCTCTCTCTCTCTCTCTCTCTCTCTCTCTCTCTCTTATCTGCACTGAAGCACATGTTAG